TTCTTCGGATTTTGATGGTCTTTTATCTGTCACTTATTGAAAAACGCCTCAAACGTTTATAGAAATCCAACTGAGTAAATACCTAATCAATTTAAAACGAGAGTATTTATCTGTCACTTATATTAGTATGTTGATTGAAATGTCTACAGCCTCGTTATTTCTCACAGTTAAGACGCATTTTTTTCTCTCATCTAAATACATTTTCTCTCTTGTAATCATTTAAAAATGGTACCGATTGAGCTAAACAAATAAATGTCTATTATTTTTTGTTACAACTTTTGAATACTTCTAATATTTCTTACGATCGAAGAAACAACTAACGTTTAGAAGGCACTACACACTTATTCTGCCATTTGCAAACTTTTGAATGTTAAGAGAAAATTATGATGTTAAACAAAATGAATACTTTTGATCTACTATTCTTCACATTACGTGCATGGAATGAAAAATATTGACAAATCAAGATATATACATCACATATGCATAACTTTGCTTCATTGAATTCAAGCTGATATGTGATATGTTCTATCAAAGTTGAAGTAAGATGGGCTTAAGTTAAAAAAGTTTTCGGTTTTACTGTAAAATACAGCTTCAATAGCACATCTCCACTTCATCGTATTCTATTCAGTCTTTTTTTAGATGGCTACACAATTCTCCATGAGCTCTTATCATTTCTTCACACAGTCTATTCCATATCATCTTAGCAGACGCTTCCTACTTATTGTTTCCAAATCAGGGTTGACTCTAAGGTCTGGTATATGATGTCACTTAACGGTCTGCTCAGAGTTTTTCCAGTCCTTCGTCATTTCCTTCTGAGCATTTCTATGGTTATGGGTTCTAGGTTGGTTTGTTGCCTGGTAGAATTCCTTGGTGCTAATCCTTTCTGGCCGGCCATCTGACCTTCAGTATTGAGAGAACGCAGGTGATTGTAAAAGTGTGAAGCCTGTTGAGAATGCTTTGGATGTCAAACCAAGACTCTAAACCATATAGAAGAACTGACTTAATTTTTAGTTTTGAAAATGTAAACCTTAGTCCTTACGCTGATTGCCGTGGATTCCCAGAATGACTTCAAATCACCGAAGGTTTGTCTTACGTTTCCAATTTTGTATTCGACACCTTCATCCATGCCGCCTGTAGTTGGAACGATGCTGCCTAGGTAATCAATGACGTAAGCAGTATTTACTCAATTGTTTCACATGAACTAAAATCTATTATCGAATATATCAAATCTAGCGATTGCAGCTGAATAATAGTCAATTTCTTGGTGTTGTCATGTTCTTGGAGATGGATTGTTTTGTTGAAGATTTTTTCATTACTCTTTTAGATGCTATTTATATCGTAAAGCTGATGTTGTCTAGAAGGAAAACAAAAGATTCTCAACTAAACTATTTAGCTGTGTGAATGTAGTAACGCTCAAATCATCCACCTGAGCTACAAATCTTCTCTACTGTTTCAGTTTTCACCTGCATTTAGAGGCAAAAATTACTTTATACGATTCTTGATGTGTGCCTTAGCAGACGTAATGACGGATCTCTCAAAAGATCTATCCACCGGAAACGTACATGGAACGGACAACTAACTAATTTTTGCAGTTGGGTGCCTATTCCTAGGAAAAAGGAAAATTTGTAGTTATAATTGCATTGACTCAGAACTTGACTTCTTGAAAGCTAGACTGGCAGAAAACGGTTACCCTAACCAATTTATTGACAGCAACACGAAAGGCAAGCGGTCTAAACTGGAAACCGACCCAGTTTCAAAGAAAACCTTATTCATGAACTTGGAATTCAAAGGAGATCAAGCTTCAGATATGCTCAAAAATTGTCTCTCTAAATCAGTTAGTAAGACGTTCCCTGCAGGTAGATTACATATAACGTTCACGAGCCGCAAACTGTTCTCTACCTCTGTAAAAGATAAGCTCCTCCGTCTGACCGCCTCCATGTGCATCTACCAGTTCACCTGCTCTTGTGGAGCAAGGTACATTGGCCGTAGTCAGAAAACGCCCTCTACACGGATATGAGAACATATTCCAGCTTGGTTTTACAAGGGAGAAAGGAAATGTGTGCGAAGCTCTATTCTGGAACACCTGATCGACTTCTGTCACTCAGTCAACCCTGACCATGATTTCAAGATCATATATGGAATCCATGTTAACCACCCGCATTTTCTTCGTTACAGACTTCTAAAGACAACTGAGGCCTTGGAAATTCATGACTTTAAGCCAGCCAGACCTTTGTGTACAAAAGAAGTATGTACAATCCCTACTTCTGCCTTGGCCGTAGACGGATAGACATTTATTTATTTTGTTTATTTAGTTATTCTATGTACTTTTCCCTTATTACTTCGATTATTTTTATTATTATTATTGTTATTATTACGACTCTCACTCCGAATCTTTTCCACTTGACCCACTTGACATTTTAAACCCAAAATTATTCATTTGTATATTTTTTATTTTTACAATATTGAATTCTATCTTATCAAATTTCACACCATCTTACGTAACATTTTATATTCGTCTACTAATCTTATAATTATGTACCCCTTTCCAAAATCTATACACCTTATGTATTATTTTATATATGACATTAATTATTTTGCCACTTGACATTAAACTATGATTATAATCAAAAATATTTTAATTGCATTTCATACTATTGTTATTTGATATATTCATACCTTTGACCTAGTTCCCTCACCGGATATAATTTCTTTGTAAAACTATATATATGCGATTGTACAGCTTGATAATAAATTCGTTGAAAAGAGTCTCTTCGCTGAATATTGTGTTCTTAACATAATTCATTGCCTACTGGACTGAATACACAGTTAACCATTTTGCTTTAAGTATAAAACCTGGGCACTGTGGTAGAGTATAATTCCATTATAGATAAGATTTTATTCTGATAAATCGCACAGTGTTTACAGTTATATGAACTGATATATATATATATATATATATATATAACTGTAAACACTGTGCGATTTATCAGAATAAAATCTTATCTATAATGGAACCATTTTGCTTATTTTTGTTTAGGACAGTGACACATTAATAGAATTAAAACGCCATAATAAAAAGAGGGACGGATAAAACTGAAACAAATTATGATCATAATTACCGAGAAGATTGGCATATTATGCAATTAGGGGTTAGAAATAAAGAGATAACAAAATAGACAGGATGTTTGGATAAAAAAATTCCCTGAAAATTGTGTTCTTTATATGATTCACCAAGTTCAAGTTACCTCTACGAACTTTGTACTACCCTGGACACAGTGGTATTCGAAGCGATAAGAAAAATCAGTAAATATAACTGTAAAAGTATTAAATTACAAGTTCCTTAATCTGCTCATATTGGCTGGAGGATTTCATCATAAGCTGACATCAGTTAGAGAACCATTTCAAAACCCAGGAGCACTGAATAGCTGTTTCCTTCTTGTCTGGTACTCTTCACGGTACGCACCCACCTAGGTTCGAATCCAGGACTTTCTGCTTACATGGCGAGTTGGTCGACCATTAAGCCACTGGAACTCGATCCAATGGCCAGTCCATAAATTCTAACTTCTGCCAATTCACGATATAGCATGACCAATTAGCAATGTCTTCTTCGATGTGTTATCACCTCACCTTCAACCTGCTGAAGTGGAGGTCAGGATTTCATCATCAGCTGGTATGAAATTTAAATAATCTATTCTATAATTCATCGTCAAAACTAAAATTATAGTCCTAGCAATACACAGATAGTTCAATTTGGAGCGTTTCGCACACCGAACTGGCAGCTTCCATTGCTGATATAGTAAAACTAATTTTAATGTCTGTATTATAAAAGTTTGAAAAGATTCTATCAAATAAATTATTCTTTATTCATGTCTACTCCACCTTTCTGACTCAAACCATTGAGAAGTCTTCTAAATGTTTGCATCTAAATTGTTGGTCTTTATATATAGGGTCAACTCTGAAGCGCAGATAACTACTTCTTTCTAAGAGGCAATTACATTTCGCTTGTTCACTTGGCTGCTTTAAATTAAAGCAGTTTTTATAAAACTATACTAGAAAGTGATTTAATATGGTTAAAAAAAATTCTGAAAACATTGAAAGAAGCTTTAGGTTACACCGTGAGGTAAATGAACAAACCTCACTTTAAGTTTCAAAGCCGCGAGCCTACGACTGACGTTTTCCTGCAAGAAACTGTTCAGCCAAAACTCGAAGGACAAGCTGTCGCATTGGGCCACCTCAACTTGCATATACCAGTTCACTTGCTCTTGTAGAGCTGAGTTTATCGGCCGTACCATGCGCCAACTTGAAAAGCGCACTCGTGAACACTATCCAGACTGACTAGTAAAAGGAGACCAAAAACGTGTATACAGTTCAGTGACAGAACATCTGGTCAATTCAGGACATTCAGCGCCTTTCGAAAAATCCTTCAAAGTAATATACAAGATTCAATCAAACGTATCAAAGGGAGTGAAATTAAGACATCTGGGCATAGCCGAGGCACTAGCTATCCAAAGGCTCATACCCACACTTTGTATCCAAAAGAAATAGTTCAACTCTGAAAAAAAATAATTAAAAGTTTTACAATAATATTTTGAACTGAATAGGTGACTGAAGTTTCTACTTTCTAACACTGAAATCTGAAAATTTTGAAATGTTGCTTTTATACGGTCAGCATTGAATTATGAAGTGACAGGTAAATCCTGTAGCTTACATCTTTATAAGCAATAACATTTACTAGGTATACATTAATTAAAATCGTCAGACTATTGATTCTTGAAGAACTTATTATCAAAGCTTTAAGAACAATTTTGCATATCTTTGCTTTTCGCTAGATTTTGAAAAAATACAAAAGAATAATTAGGAGAAGAAACGTCATGTACATGCTGCCAGATATGTCGCAAAATATATTCTGAAAAAACTGTTTATTATTATTAAGACAAATATTGATAACATTCTTTGATATTACATAGTTTTTTATATTCAGCCCCAAATGCTTCATCAGTAAAGGAAGACATATGCCACTTTCAGTGTTGCTTGCTTTACAATTTACCAACCATTCACAGTTAATACCAAAGTACACGTTTGTTTAACAAATCAATAATCTTCACGTGATACACCAGTCTGCATAATATATGTGTACGCATAAAATAGCATGCGAAGATCAAATTACTCATTAGATTATAAATGCCAGAGAAGTGTGAGGCAAGGCATAAATTGTGTACAAGTTATTAACATCAAACTTTTGAAATTTATACAGTTATTATTATTATTATCGCACGCAAATGGAACCAGAAAAAGCCATTGTTAAAAGTACTGGTATGCCAGAGGAAATGCAAGAACACGCAATTAAAACATGCGTGAAAGCAATGAGAATGCATAGATATGATAAAGATATAGCTAGTGCATTGAAAAGAGAATTCAATAACAAATATGGACCTACATGGCATTGTGTTGTTGGCTGTAGTTATGGAAGGTAAGCTTTTAAATGTTAAAGATATTCTTTTGAAATGAATTCAGTATTACCATAGTTGATATTATGTAGAATACTGAAGCACATTTCGCTAATTTATTAGGATGGATTTTATTTCTTATCTTTCAGTCCACACATTCAGGCATAAACACGTTATCTTTATTGATCAATACAGAAGTCTGTAATTTTTTCTATGAACGATGGAAGTTTGGGGTTTCAAACTAAAGTTTGATTGCACCGTTTTTTTACGGTGATATTCAGTAATGGACTAAATATTTATAGGTACAGCTGGACAACTAAAATGAGAGCATTTCAATTTAGTAAGAGATATATGTCAGGGATAAAAGAAAATAAATGTACTAATATATCACTCATTCCTTGATTTCTGTGTGAGACTTGCAGCTCCAGAAGTAAATATCTGTTGCACTCATTTTTGTGTTACCACTTCTAATTGTCTCCACAGCCTCCCGTAAGCTTTCACTTCTTCTATAAATGACCTTCATCGAGTCACCGCTGTGCACCTAACTAATTCCAACTTCACTTGAAGGTGAAGCGTATGATGTTAAACTTATGTCCAACCTACCTCTATTTAGTCCTGCATATTTCATCAAAAATACCCAATGAGTCTTGAAGAAAATAAAAGACAGATTCAGCGAAGAATATTGTCTTTAACGACAAAATCATCATCACATGCTGTACAGTCGTATTTGTACTTACAAAAAAACATATAGTGGTCTGTTATTGAGTAATAGCGGGTGACATAATTGATATAATTACTCAGAAGGGACTTAAGAAGTGAACAATAAAAGTTGTAAATTACGTGGTACACAACGTCACAAAGGAAGGGAGGCTTGGAAATTTGATAATATTAAAATTGCTGTTGAGTGAGAATAAAGGTATTTAAATGTCAATTTAACAGGTGTGAAGAGTGTGTGAAATGTACAGATGGAGCATATAATGAGTGATTGCAGTGAATTAATTATTAAAGCAAAAGCAAACTAAAAGTAAAATTAAATATTAAAAAAGTAAAGAAAAATCAAAATGTTTTTACAGGGAACGATTAGTAAAGAAAACCAAGGTAGAATAAGAGACTGGACAAACTTTTTCTGTATACAGAGTTCTGGGTTGTATTGACAAATTGCCAGCGCCTCCACCATACACAAAAGTCGAAACCTGATGCCTTTTGTACCGTTCGGCTTCACTTTGTAGATGATATTGAAAGACGATTCTGGTGGAGCCACATGACCTGAATTCACCAAATGCTCGAGAATTGAGCTAGTAATTGTCTTGCATTGCCCCTTTGCTAACCATGCTGGATAATGTCCAGAGATGTGTTTGGGAAGCGTGCGCTTTGTGCCGCCAATATAACTAGCTCCACACGAGCAGGCGAACTTCTAAACACACATTGAGTTGGCCCAAAGCGGCAGTTTATCCTTCACACCTCCATTGATCATTTGTCGACTGTAGAAATTGATACGTAGCTCAGCCATAAAGAAGGCTTTCCTCAGTGATCTGCATAGGCGATTCTTCAGGATGTTCTGTACATTTCACACACCCTTCACACCTGGTTAATTGACACTTAAATACCTTTATTCCTTTGTGACGTTGTGTACCACGTAATTTACAACTTTTAATGTTCACTTCTTAAGCCCCTTCTGAGTAATTATATCAATTATGTCACCCGCTATTATTCAATAACAGACCACTATATATTTTTTTGTAAGTACAAATACGACTGTACAGCATGTGAAGATGATTTTGTCGTTAAAGACAATTTTCTTCGCTGAATCTGTCTTTTATTTCCTGTATATTTTATGATTGATAGAAACTTAACTTGTTGACCATAGGAGTCCCTTAGTTTTAATCACTTATACCCTTCTTATTATCAGTATCGTGCCAATGCTTTCAATGACGTACCAAATCTCCGAACCACAAATAAAGTGCTGAATTCAGATTAATGAGCACCAATTTTTGCTTAACTGATTCTGACCTGACATCCTTATCCGCGAAAGTGTAGTCAAGATGATTTTGCTCTTTATTACGAATTGGTCGTGTCACTTCAAAACATCTAGCTAGGGGACTTGGGTAAATATTAAGTAAAAAAGATATCACAACAATATGGAGCGATTACATGAATTTTATTAATAACATCGTTATGCTTCAACAGCTACAGAGAAACAAATATGTTTTTTTCGGTAGTAATTTAATGTTTGATAGATATCAGTTTGATTTCACCACCGATCAAGATCAGGTGGAAGAACCAAGTTTTTTTCGGCAGACGAAGAGTAGACGCAGTCATCTACATTAAGTATTAGAATAGATAATCCACATTGCAAACTTTGATTACAATAATTATCATTAATAAAGTAACTAAATTATGAGTATATAAAATTTATTGCACTTCTCTTCAAAAAAACGCATTTATTTCTTATTTCACATTTATTCAGCAATGTCAGTCATACTGAAGGTGGATTAATGTACTTTTTCCTGGGTCGAAGATCTATTCTCTTATTTAAAACGGAATCTGACTAATCCGCTAAACAAGACAGTAAATTTGTAACAAGATTATTTCAATTAGACAAATATTTAATTATGCTGTATACTATTTGAATATTATTTTAAATTTATAATGTTTAGAAATTTATGTATCAATAAATAAAAATATACAAACCTATTCAAGTGACTTCTAGTATGAAAATCAAAAGCAGTTTTAACTGAAGAGATGAGAAACATTGTCGTAACTTATAGCTTGAATGAAGTTCTGTGCTTTTAAGTGCCATATCAGTGGAGAGCGCTGTTAGTTCCTAAACAATTAAAAATCATCCAGAGCCCCAAATCACACTGAATGTTCATGTCTACACCAGAAGATGACCGTGACTATATCCTTCTAAATTTTTAGATGAACTACAATTCATCAATTATTGGTTACCTGGTCTTAGCATTATAATTGTGGAAGTATATATTGTTGGTCACTTCAACTGAAGTTATATAATCAGAAGTTTACAAAGGAAGACGTGCATTCTCCACTTAAATAATGAGATTAAGATGAGAACGATGTTGCATGTTAGCTAAAAACGAACCGAATTTGTTCATCATAAGAAACTGGAAGCAAGTTTTATCATTCAAAAAGCGATTTATTTTCCTATGAAATATAATGACCAGACTGTCTCGATTATTATCAGTGTTACTCTTGTTTTGCTTATGTTCCGAGCGAAACAGAGCTTGAATTGTACATTTCTGCTTTGTCCTGTTCTCTGCAGTTCTCTTTAGCTGACGCCACGACTGTCCATAGGCTCTCATCTCTTTCTTATACGATCTTCTCCATATAACATTCGGAAGCCTAGCTCATCGTTTCCCATACAAGTTCCCCTCGAGCGACGGTCTGAGTCACGAAGTCACCTGACGGTCTTCTTAGCTTGTTTCCGACCAACCTTCGTCTTCACCGGAATATTTTTTGAGCTATAGGTTCTTGGTTAGTTTGTTCACAGAGTTTCTTCCTGCTAATTTTGTGTGATCATTTGATCTTCAGTATGGGATGGAAGTTGTTATTGATAAAACTTTGTAAGCTTTTTGGAAATGGTTTAAATTGTCCCAAAGGTACATAATAAATAGATTACAAAAACCTTTCATGAGATTTTCAAACAACCTGCGTTGGGTTTCATGAGATTTCCACTACTGTTACAGTTTGAAGTTTTCATGAAAGCGTTATTTCACATCAAGTTAGATATTGCAACCAGTACAACAAGCTAACATCATATTATTTGGTAGTGATGAATAATACGAAGGCTAATAATGACGTGTAACACTGTCAGTCTTCATTATAATTAACTGGGCACCAAAGAAATAAAAATACGTCTCAGGAGGCTGCTTTCTCCAAAAACTGCTAAAACATGTCTTCACCATGAACATTTGTACATTTTCAAAAGCACCATTTGATAAATATCTCGATATTAGTTAAGTCCACCAGCTGGAGAGTGTTTACATGTACAAAGCTGCGTATTCAGAGGATGTATATTTAGGCCTAGGAGATTAACACAGTACAGTTGATATGACTTCCGTAGAGGTGTTCATTCATGTGTCTATGATAACTACTAGTTCCCACAATAAATTTCAGCTATTCTCGACATTAAAAAACGGTTAAACGTGAAAAATTCGTTATCCTTTAGGTTAATACGAATTCGGTAAACAATCATGGATGCTTCATCTAGTGGTTATAACAAACAACACTGAGGTTGATACTAGTGAGGATAATTATCACTTTTATACATCAGCAGAGAAATCCTGCTCATATCTGAAATCTATGACATGGTTTTTTCGATACAGTCTTATGACTATGCTTTTTATGAGATACTGATATAGTTTCTGCCTTTAAGAAAATGTTGGCCGACGAAAATACCATATCAGGAATCCTTTTATTTAACTACTAAATGTAGCTCATACTTCTCAAATAAAATAGGTTTTGTAGAGAAGAACCTTAACATCAGTACCTAATTGTGTGGAAGCAACTTATGTGTAGATTTTAGTTATTGGCTGTTCTTTAGATAAGGTACAGTTGTATTAAGTGTTATTCTCTGGCACACACTTTTCGAGCATATTGGGACGACTGAATAGCTTTGGGGTGGGGGCATACTGTACACTGTCAGCCAGTAATATTGCCTTTGTTTAGTAATGGTACTTCTTTATGTAGACCATTGTAAGAATTTAAGTTCCAATGGTTTATCTGTCTCAAACATTGGTGGTGTGTGCACAATATTATAATGTAGAATGTCAGCGCTTTGTTTGATTTAAATGCCTCGCATAGTGTTATTTGATTTTCTGTATCCCAGAGACAGTGACATTTTAAAATAAATGATTCAGTGTACAAGCAAATATAAAGAATAAGACAGCTTTTGAAAATAACAATAATTACACTCGTAAGAGTCAAAGTTTCACTTTCAATTATCACTTAAGGGGAAAATGAATAAGGTGTAGGTCTATTCACTGCTGATATATGTAAAGTAAAGTCTAAATTCATTAGTTAATTTTTGCATAAATTTCTTAGCTTACTAATTTATAGAGTCAAAATGAAACTAAACGCTGAAAACGCTATGAAGTATAATGATTTTGAGAAAACTCGTATTTTTTATCCGAAGAGAGTTATATACATATCAAAGTTTTTAAGTGTGTTTACTGCTATCACGAATCTATATCGAAAAAAATCCCCATTTAGACATTTAGAAAGCAAGGCGATTGAGTGAAGAAATATTTTTACTTTTCAAGTAGATCCTCATCTCTGGCTCTACTCTAAAATATTTAGCATTTTTATTACAATACCCAACAATTTACCAATTAAGTGGCACTGATATGTTTGTTAACAATAATTAGCCAGTATCAGCGTGTCAGTGTAGTGATAATTAATGAAAAAAAATTAATACTTACCATTAAAAGGTAGAAATAGTTACAACACGTGGATTGCATAATGCATAATTTTAAATGGTTGGTTTGTAAGGATTAGATTTGTTATTACGAGTTGATCACGGTGCGTACTTCCAATGATTCGCAAACTACGATGAAACATCTGTGCAGTACTCCCTGGTTTTCAACGGTTCACTAACTGGTATCAATCCGTGATCCACTGATAAAAGCCAATCTAATCCTTATAAACCAACTCTTGAAAATTAATCTGATGTTTTCTAGTGACTTACTATAGGACGGAGTTTCCTGGAGTTCTAGTGAGAAGTGGTGACCAGTGAGACCCATCCAGTCAAGTGTGAGGATGGATGTCCCACCGAAGACATTGGTTAGTCGTCGCACTAAACCATGAACTGGTAGAAGTTAGAATTCATGGGCCATTGAATCGGGTCCCCATGGCTGAATGGTATACGAGCTTGCCTTTGTAACCGGAAGGTCCTGGGTTCGAACCCTGGGCGGTGAGTGCGTACTACCGATGATTCCCAAACTAGGATGAAACAGCTGCCCAGTATTCAATGTTTTGCTAACTGTTATTGATCCATGAGCAACTCATTAAAAGCATAATTTAAAAAAATGAAGAATAATTAAGTAATAGGTGAGTTCTCAAGTTGATTACGCTACAGGTTGTTAAAGAAAAATAAAACGATTTGGACAATGATAACTTGTAATTAAATATGAAGTATTCGAAAAAAATGATGAATTAACTTGGAAAATAATAATTTTTAAAGATTTTAGGGGAGCGGGTGGAGGAAGAAATCCGGTGTGACGATTGTTAAGGTGAGGAAACTGGTTCTGCAAATTTCTTCGGAACACACAGGTTTGGCTTCCACAGGTGGACTCCTATTACTTCAGCTGTATGTAGAAGACGAACTTGTAAAGCGAAATTAAGATAATTAGGAATGCAATAAATAATTTTAAATGGTGTATTAACATCACTTTTATGCTCAATATCTACAAGGTGTGCTAAAATAGAGCGACGAATAGATTTGGATCGTTGTAACTCTGGATCATAGCAAGAATTTAAATTGATTACGGGTGATATTTTCATGATAGTAAAATATCTTCTACATAGGTGTGCAGTTTACTGCTTTAGCACTGTTCTGAAGCTAATTTGAAAACTGTTTAAAAACCAGGTTATAGAATTTCACATTGTTAATTCACCTTCCAATTTACCATGAATGACCTCTTATCATTAATAAAAAAGTTATCAGTGGTGTTATATCTTATAGGCAAACGAGAATGTTCTGGTATTTCATCTGTCAAAATTATTACGCAAATCAGGGAAAAGTCGGTTATTTAAACTTTTTACTGTTTGATTTTTAGTGGTTTATTTAATAGCGATGGTGTCAAACTGTATATTTTGTTCGATCAAGGGGAAAATTATACTTTGATAAAGTCTCATAGTGTTATACAGTGATATTTACTGATGACTGTTTGGGCGCAATTTATCGCTCATAATCAGCTGAAGGCACTCACATAGCTTTCTTACTTCGTTTATGTAGATGAGTTAAAAATTGTTCATTTTGATATCCTGGCTTCTAGTTAAATTCGATTCATTTTGACAAACTTTTATGTACCACATTGAAAATTGAATTAAATCCTACAATCCTCTATGTCCACTGGTTTTCAACCTGATCCCACTCTAAGGTCTCGAGGGAAGTCTCTTATTTTTTGTACATAATTAGCAATCTTTTATATGAACAATATTAGAAATCCCAATTTAGATATTTAGAAGTCACAACGATTGAGCAAAGAAATATTTATTTTTCAATAAGATCCTCACTTCTGGCTCTATTCCAATATTATACAGCAGTTTTATTATAGTACACAGAAATTTAGCGGTTTAGTGCAGGGTAAGGTTGTTAGTCTTGTTAAGGGAGTAATAATTAGTCAAGAAAATTAATGCAACAGTTAAAGGGTGGATATATAGCTAGAAGTTAAACAAGTGGATTACGCAAGTATGTGGAATAAATAAAAAATAAATTAGTGTTCAAATTATTTACGTAGTAAACAATTAATAAAATAATAGGGGGTAACATAATTGATATAATTACTCAGAAGTGGCTTTAGAAATAAACAAATCAAAGTTGTAAATTACACGTTACTCAACGGCACAAAGTTAGAGATTCGATAGGGTTAAAATTGCTTCTGAGTGAGATTGAAAGTAGTTGAGTGCCTATTTTACAAGTGTAAAGAGGATGTGAAAATGTACAAAAGAAACAT